GCCTGCTGTCAGCTCTCATATGCACTTCAAATGGCAGACTCCCTCGTACACAGAGCATTGCCCATGGCCTACTACATCCTGCTCACCAGGTCTGGTCTGGGTTGACACTACTGCGATTCGCGGTTTAAGGTCCTGGGTTCGATTCCTGGGGAGACCCCCGAATTAGTCGGGAGCGCGAGATTATGGCTAGCTGCTGAGTTGTGGAGTTGAGGTCGCAGTTGATGGACCAGATTCGCACGCTAGATTGGTGGCGATTGCCGAACCCTCCGTCTCTTCGGTTGTTCGGGTGAATGGATGAGGAGGGGTCCTAGACGGCTGGACCCGCCGCCTTGGACTTACAGTTCGTATGGCGAAGTATAGTGTGGTAGTGGTGGACGGTGCTATAAGATGATAAATCATAGAACTGACAATGTGATAAAGCGGCCCAGAAGCCTCCCACTCTGTAACATTACAAAATTACATCCTGCTCACATCTCTCATAGGTACCAAGAGGACTAGAGGCCCTTCTTTACTCAGCATTACCCATGGCCTGCTACTTTGAGAGTCACTTGAAACAACAGGCGCCCCCCATGTTCCTGAGCACTGCCCGTGGTCTGCTACCTCCGCTGCTTCTTCGGCCCCCCCTTCCGAATCTCTGTCATGGCTCCCTTGCCCTTCTCCTGCTGCACCTTAGCCCTGCGGGTCTGTACACCTCTGCTGTTACCGACGCCAAACGACTCCTTGCTCTTTGCGTGGTTAAACGCTGTGGCCCCGAAAGCCAAGGGGTCCTCCGGCAACACCGGTGGGGCTTCCTTGTGTGGACGCTTGATGCGAGCAGGCGGCGCCATGGCCACAGCTTCTTGACTCTCCCGAGCCTTAGCCGAGGGTTGCCTCATGCGCGTGGGCCGCCCCCCGGCATCCAATGCCCCTAGAATAAGGGAGAGAGAATCAGAAAGTAAGTTTCGTGTGTAGTCGGAATTCATTGTCTTGTTGATAGTAAGTTTCGTGTGTAGTCGGAATTCATTGTCTTGTTGATAGTAAGTTTCGTGTGTAGTCGGAATTTATTGTCTTGTTGATAGTAAGTTTCGTGTGTAGTCGGAATTTATTGTCTTGTTGAAGCTACAATTTACCTTTCTCCTGCTCTCCGGTCGCCAGGTCCTTGCTGCGTCTAGTTGGTTGAGGCATGGACTTGCTCTCTTTTGACTCTTGGTTCTGCCATAGTCCTTGAGCAGGACTCTGCCCCCCGTCCCCTCGTCGTCCTCCCCTCCCTCGTCCTCCCCTCCCTCGTCCCCCCAGTCCTCGTCCTCCCCGCCCACGTAATCCCCGCCCACGTAATCCCCGCCCACGTAATCCCCGCCCACGTAATCCCCGCCCACGTAATCCCCGCCCACGTAATCCCCGCCCACGTAATCCCCGCCCACGTAATCCCCGCCCTTGTACGGCAGGGAATGCTGTTCGAGGTACATGCGGATATCCTCGTGTGTGCGAGCACACGCCCATTGCCACGCACTTTGTTCATCAGTGTAGGCGTTGTCTGCACTTGGTGGATTTGCAGAAGGAACGGCATGTGGAGTCGTTGTGGGTGCCACTTGGAGAGGCGCCGGTGCAGTCGGGTTCAATTGGAAGGCTGGCGTGGTTGCGTTTGCTGTTGTTGCTGCTGCATTTGATCGAAAGCCTGCAGTGCATCATGTAGGAATGGGACACGAGAAGATATTAGGAACAATTAGTGTACACATATTGTATTTACATGCGTTGGGGTGCCTCATGGAGCACCAATACTTGTGCTTGCGTTTTTCGGGACTCTCTAAACACATGTGAATAAGGTCTTACCAGACATGCAATGACATCATTTAATCCTTATATAGCGGTAGCAAGTAGCTGCGTAGATTAAGGTATTGTAGGAAGATTCCAGCTACCAAATCAGGTGTGTGGTTGTTACAGTGGGCTCCAGACTCCCGAAGAGTAGAGCCATCGGGCCAGCTGGCCGTGCACTGCAGTAGAGACTAATATACCAAAAGATTATCACCTCAGATAATTAACCTCTCATCGGTAACCGCTCTCGCGAGCACAGCAATTTGCCAGATATAATTCTCAAGAAGGGGTGATGTGCGCCAACGGAATCCCAACCTTTCCGTGGAATTCCCAAAGCTGCGAAACCCTGAATGCGGCCCCAAAAGTCAACAATAACTCGACAAATTGCTTCTTCCGTAAGGGAAGGGCCAGGTAACAGTGCCGGGTTGGTTTTCATGTTTGCAGCCATATAACGTCTCCCATGCTCCATGGCTGACACCGCAGCAAGAGCCACAACATCCCAAACACATTGTTGCACTGATTGTGGGGCTTGGATAAGCCAAAGTTGCTCCCTTGAGACTGGCACTCCTATTGAGAGAGTTAGTTGATCTGCTACTGCCTGTGCCACCGGACAGGCCCAGAAATGATGATAGCGAGGGGATACACCTCCCACTGAACCTATTGGATAACCTCCACAACCACATATCGTTGGGCTCGACATCCTAAGATGGGAATTTCCTAACATAGGCACCCCATCAACCGCGAGACGCCACCAAACCTCTTTTTGTTCATTTTCCCACCGTAAATGAAACCATAAACGATGGAATGTCCGTTGCAAAAGAAGAATAGCTTCATCCAATATCTCAGAAGAACCCGTCGCCTCTTTGATGAAAAGGGTATGGGCCACACGGCGAGCCATCGAAAAAGGTGAAAGTTGCATATTAGTCGCTGTTTTAACGGATAAATGTTGGAATCGGATTGGAGGCCCTACACCCCATCTCCAACCAAGCCTCGACACTAGGGTTTGGGTAACCGACTCAATAGGGGGCACCATCGCTTCCCTAGATTCTACACTCAGCGGCAACAAAAGACTAGCCGCCTGTCTCCAATTCGCTGGAATATCATCTAGAAGAGCGCCAATAGCATCCATACATTCCTGCCATTTACGATAGGTGCACAGGGATTTAGCTAGTGGGGTTTGCGGTTGGAGGTATTGATCCACTATTTGATGCCAAATCGATAGCGGCGCACACGCGGCGTAGGAAAGGAAGCCAAGCTGCACTGACAAATTATGAAAACAAGAAGTCATATGTAAGGCAAATTATTTGCTATTTACGAACTGCATTTTATACTGGCAGAACAGCGACGCAGATCGCCCGTAGCGATGATGCCGTGCAAAATCTTGCCGCCGCCGAAAAGCGCAAATACATATAAGTTTTTATGGCAATGTAAGTTTTGCATTTGATTAAGTGGGTTCATCATTTTTTGCAGGCGAAATGGACGCAGACACGGATCACAGTGCTTTACGACCCAGACAGTATTGAGCACAGCACAAGGCCAAAGACCATTATATGTTTATAATTGCTGCCATAAACTTAAAAGAAAATTTGCTGCAGGTTCCGCGCAGCATATAGCACTAGCGACTGATAGAATTTGAGGGCCTTATTCATTAGGGACTGTACGACTTGATGGCCTTGTCCATTGGCATAGGAGCTGTACGGCATTATCATAAATCACCGAAGAGGTTACACCCGATTACTGGCAAGCGCAATAATGACGACGTTAGGTTATGAACCAAACGGCGACGCCAGCCGATTGATTGACCCCAGCGCATTACTAACGCCAACGAGCAGCTGCCTTTATGAAATAACATAGATCTCGCAACACTAGTAATTTATTCCATTGAAAAATATTGTTGTATCTCTTTCTGGCTTAACTCATGCGCATGCTATGCAGCATAAGAAGGGCGTACGAGGACTGCCGTATTGCATGCCGTATCTTGACCAAACACAGCTCAGCGATGAGCGATTGTTCCTCATTTTATTGGATGTCAACCTTAGTGTCTGTCCGAGAGATTGGGAAAAAATGGCGCCAACTCCTGCACAATTTTTTTCGGGGGCCTTGACCTTTAATCTCAATACATTATCACCATAATCTTAGACTAATCATCGATATTTCATATCTACTTGTTTAGATCAGTGGATATTGAAGCTTGGACTGCAGGAAGCTACACTCAGCACGGGCAGGCGCGGAAACTAGCCCTGTCCAGCTTTCAGAGTTTCGTCTGCGTTCACAATTCCCTCCGCAACCATGTCTCGCGCGGCTGCAACATCCCCCAGCTTGCTCATGCCCGACCCTCCTGCGCTGCGAGCACCCAGCCGAGGCCGTCGCGCCTACCACCGCCCGGTGCCCTTCCGCTCCTACGGCGGCCACTCGGGCGCCTCCCCGAACCCCCAGACCCGATCGGTCTCACTCGCTCAGCACCACTGCCACCATTATCACCACCACCAGCGCCATGGAACCCGTACGGAAGCTATACAGGCCGCAGCAACGACATCATCACCCGCAGCAGCAGCAGCCACGGCAGCAGCCGCCGCCAGGGCAAGGGCCGCCGCCAGCTCCAACCTCACCGCCACCTCCACCACTCCTCGCCGTTCGTACATCGTCGCCGCGGCGGCAGTGTATCGCGGCGGCGGCGGCACCGGCAGCAGCGGCGCCTTCCAGCCGGCCGTATGGCCGGTGGGCTCTTCATCCGCCTTACAGTCCAAGTCATCCCCTGGCTTGGCATCATCATCTCGCGCAGAGCGGCTGGCTGATGAGCGCTTCAGGTGGGGGGGAGGTGGAACTGTGCCGCAGCGCGTGCTGCGGTTGGTTGTTTGCGGGCCTTGGTCGCCACTGCGCTCTCCCTTTCCTCCTGAGAAAAGGGGAAAACGCGGGGGTGCACGCCCTCGGTCGAGCAGGACCCCGCAAGTTGGAGAGTGATGCTTCGGCGGTCGCTCGTTCCCGTTGGGGTATACGGTTACGTGCACGTGGCCAGCGTCAGGCCCGGATCGACATGTAATACATACAGACAGACAAACACAAGGGTTGCTGGGCCATTTCTTATCCCCCTCCCCTTTTAACCCCCACTGAACACCAGCAGATGGCCCTCTGCTTCATGTACTTCATGTTGAAACCCCCCACCTCACCTCACCTCACCTCCCTGCGTGTCCCTCACTCGCCCCCACCTACCCCGCACTCTATTCCCCCACCTAACCCCCCACCTACACCCCCAACCCCACCCCCACCGCAACAAAGGCTCCAGGCGGTCAGAGGCGCCGGGGGAACCGGATCTGGATCTGGATCTGGACAGCCCGGGGCGCTGCAGGTGACATGGGGGCTACCTGCTTGGGTGCATTGACGTCTGTATGAACGTCTGTATGAGTGTGTGAATGAATGTGTGGATGGTGTGTTTCTTCGCGTGCGGCACTGTGTTTGTGTGTTGTGTGTGTGTGTGTGTCTGGAGGGGACCCGGGCAAGGAGAAACAAGTGTTTTCATGTCTGTATGTCTGTGTGTGTATATGTGTGCTGGTCGTCATCGGTCGTTAGCTCTGTATGTACATCTATCTCCGCACGCAGAGAGGACACACATTCGGACGGTACATTCGTACACCTCCTCTACCGCATCCCCGGGCAGGTTGGGGCGCTAGTAGAGTACGAGAAGAATGACCGTGCTGTACTGGCCGTACTTGTGGCCCCGGATGGCAAGAAGAACTGGTTCGCGGTGGACCAGGTACGGCGGTGTGGGACATGCGACTGTCCTTTGCTTCGCATTCGCGTGTTCGTGTGTATGTATTCATGTATGTATGTATGTATGTATGCATGTATGTATGTATGTGGGGAGGGGGAGAGGAGATTGCAGTTTCACTTTTTCGTCCGTCTTACCCATGTCCCCGGTGTGTGTCCGTACGTCCGTCTGCCTGTCTGTCTGTCCGTTCCGCCGAACCAGACGGGTCGGCGACAGCCCATCACACCCAAGCAGGTGGTGTTTGTGCTGCCGGGCTCCGGCTACAGGGAGGGTGACGTGGCGGCCTTCGTGGAGGCGGCGGAGGGGGCGGACATGTCCATGATGGAGGTGGTGTGGGAGATCGCGATTGAGACCGCAGGCGGCCCCCTGGAGCTAAAGGAGCTGGCGACGCTGCTGTACGACGATACGACACCAAGGTCGCTGTACGTCACGCACCGCATGTTACAGAAGGACACGCTGTACTTCAAACCGGTGGGTTCAACGAACTAACGACCTAACTATTTCCCTAACTAACTAACCAACCCACTAACTACTTTGCTAGGAAACTTACTATGTTCTTGTCCGCCAACCGCCAGAGTGGTCTGCGAGCAATGGAAGGGGGTTTGTGTCCCCCCTTTCGGAGTGGTTGACACACGTGTTTTCTTTGCGTGTTTAGCTTTTGTGTGTTTGGCTTCCTGTGCCTTTTATCAACTTTTCCTCCTTATTAAATTACTTAACTACCTACCGAACACGCACGCCCAACCAGCCGCGACGACCCACTTCCTGTCGTACCTCCACCTTCCGAATCCAAACCCTTCCTGGACATCCACATGGATGGACCGCTTTCCCCTCACCTCCAACCAAACCCCCGTGGACTCTCCCCCCCTCACCCCTCCTACCCCCCCCCTCCTTGTTACCCGGGGGGACATAAGGCTCCTCGAGGGGGCGCCGCCGCCGCCGCTATCGTCGCGGGAGGGTCGTACATTCCGCGCTCCGCCGAGGAGGTTGCGGCGCTGCGGGTGCAGCAGGAGGCGGCGGAGGCGGCTCGCAAGGCGGCCGAGGCATGGCGAGCGGCGGTGGTGGCGGCTCGGACCGCTAAGACCCGGGCCCAGCAGCCCAGTGCCGCGGAGTGGGAGGAGGGACCGTTCGGAGGCCGCATCCGGGCTCTCAAGGTACGTGGTCGGGGGGCCGGGCGGTGTGTGTGTATGTGTATGTGTGGGTGTGTGTGTGGAGGGAGGTCTGGGGACAGGATTGCGGAGATGAGGGTTGTGTGGGGGGTTGCGTGCGTGTGGGTGTATGGGGTGAGTTACTCTCCAACTCTGCAGGGGGGTGAAACACTGGGTGGGATATACATGGCGGGAGACGGGAAAGCACGTGCGAGAGTGTGCTGTTATTGGAGTTATGGGGGGGGGCTTGTAGGGGTTTTAGGGTTTTACCGCCGCCTTTCTCGCCGCGCCTTTCGTTTTCTTTCTTCCTTCCTTTCCCCTCCCCCTCCCCCCCCGCATGTATATTTTCACCGCCCGTCGTTTCGATTTCGGTTTTCCATCCCCATCCTCCCTTCCAGGCCATTGCACTCAGCACGCCTCGAACCGACGACGTGACGACCCAGCTGGCGCTGTCCTCGCTGCAGCTGGTGGGGGCCGGCAGTCGCGCAGAACCCGACGCGGCTGCCGCGCTGTTGGTGGAGATCGGGGCCCTGCGCCGCCACGAGCCGCTGCAGCTGCTGCGCCGCGGCCTGGCGATCCGCACCCCTGCCGAGCACGAGCAGGAAGCGGCGGTGAGGGAGCTGGGGGGGCAGCCAAGGGATACAGGAGCAATGGGATGGGGAGGAGGGATTGTGTGCGTGTGTGCGTGAGTGCTGGAATTCGGGCTCGTGCGTCCTTTGGGGGTTGGGGGTGGGTCGATGGCGTTTTTAGGCACCTCCGCCTCCTCCTCCGCCTCTGCTGAGGCCGCGGGTCCCGGGTTTCGATTCTCCGCTGCTTCCTTGCTCCTCTGCGCGTGTCTCGTCCTTCGTCCGCAATGCCATGATCCCGCACCCCTGCCTGCCGCCTCCTCCTCCTGCTGCTGCTGCCTGCCTTTCCACCTCGTAGTTCCCTCTTCCGTCTCCTTCCAAATAATAATAATAATAATAATAAATGACACAATGTAAATATAATAATATGATATAATAATATCTAGTAAAATAAAAATAAATATAACAATAAAATTAATATTAATATGAATATAATAATTCCTCCTCCCTCTTCCCTTCCTCCCTCCCCCCTCCTCGCTCGCGTCCCCCGCCCACATCCCACCCGCGACCTGGCCGCCGCCACCCGCACCCCCACCCCCCTGACCTCCAGGCCCTACTAGCCGCCCCGCCGCCAGACCCGGATGCAAAGCTCCGAGAGGACCTCACCCACCTGCGGGTGTTTACTATCGATGACGTCACCACCACTGAGGTGGATGACGGACTATCCCTGGAGCGACTGGAGGGGTCAGAGGGGGCCGCCGCCGGAATCCGGATCTGGATCCACGTAGCTGACCCTACTCGCTGGATCCGCCCCGGATCCAATTTGGATATGGCGGGTCGCGACAGGATTCGAACTCTGTACCTGCCATGGGGCTCTGTGCCCATGTTCCCGCGGCAGCTGGCGGAGGGGCCGTTTAGTTTACGGGAGGGGCAGGTGGGCCGGGGGCGGGGTTGGAATACGGGAAGAGGAGGTCCGTCCATGTTGCACCACGACGGCGGAAAAGTAGTACAGATTGGAAGATCGGTCATATCCCTTGATACGCTAACAATATAGAGACAATCTCTTCTTGTATGTTTATTTCTAGCCCAGGATGCCTGCATTTTTGAAAGCCTGACCTGTACGGCTCAGCTGGCGCTGCAACAGCCCACCTGGGCCCCTCACCTCAGGCTCCCTCACTCCACCTCACCCCTCTGGGTGTCCGGAGATGCAAGGTGGTGTGGGGGCAGGGTTCCAGAGATACGGGGGCCGGGCGGGTTTTTACTGGGGCTGGTTGGGGCGCCAGGAGTTGCAGCTGCAGCAGTGGGTGGTTTGGCGGTTTTGATGTCATCTGGTAGTTGATCCCTCGGGATTTGCATCATCAGCACATCAGCACATCATCAGCACATCATCAGCACATCATCAGCATCGTCACTCCCTGACTTCACCTCCACCACCAACCCCATCGCCCTCGGGGACCCTTGGGGGGGGGTCCCAAATGTTCCACTGCAGGTGTGTGATGCGATGAGCGTGTGTGTACGACTGAACAAGGATGGCTCCCTGGAGCGCCCTCGTGTCGTACCCAGCCGCGTACGGGTCAACCACAAGCTCACGTACGACCAAGCAGATGCAGTACTGGCAGCATTGGCGGCGGGGGATGGGAATGGAACAGAAGCAGCGGGGACGGGGGCGGGAGCTGTGGCGGTGGAGGACGGCTCCAGGGGAGTCCTGGACGTAGCGGCAGTGGCGGACCTGTTGGCGTTACGGGAGGCGGCACTCGCACGGTGTGTGTGTGGGTATGTTCCCCGCTGAGGGGAGGGAGGGGGACATTTACGGGAAGCCGTTAGCCGCACCGTTACATCGTTAGTAACTGCGGCTGGTCATTGAGGCGTACAGGGTTTTCTTCGCCCGCGTGTCGTCTTTGGCGCCAGCTCGCACACCCAACGACTCTTCCTCTTCCCCCTCACACGGCCCTGCTCGTCCTACCGTACACTTACCCCTTCACCCGTACAGACGAGCCTATCGGGAGGCCTGCGGCTGCATTGAGATCCCGCTTCCCGAGGCCAAGATCAACGTGCCGTACTCTCATCTGGATCGTGCTCGTCCTGCCGTCACCATCAGCCGTATCAGCCAGTGGGACAGCCCAAGTCGGAGTCTGGTGGCGGAGATGATGATCCTCGCGGGGGAGGCGGTGGGGGCCATCGGTGAGCGGCAGGGGTGGTGCTGGCAGTGGTAATGGCGGGTAGTGGTAATCGCGGTGGAAGCAGGACACCCCCCCACCCCCCCACCCACCCCCCTTCTCTCTCGGGGCCGCACACTCGCCCCACCCAAGCCCACCCCCAGGGCTCCACACGCACCGTTCACACGCACCGCATCCTAGCTGCTTGCCAACAGTCCACTGCTTCCCACAACTCCTCAAGTTTTGTCTCCTTGCTGTTTCGTTTCGTTTCGTTGTTAATCCCAGCCCCTGTTTCCTGACCGACCGACCGACCGACCCGCCACTCCTTCCTTCGCTCTTTCAACCTATTACCGCACCAAGGACTCCATCGCTTCTGCCGCATTCGGGCCCGACCGCCAACCTGACCGAGCATGCGACCCCTCCCCCGACCATTTCCCCCCTCCTTCCCAGGCGCCGAGGCCGCCCTGCCGCTGCCGTACAGGTCCCAGGACAGTCCCGAGCTTCCCCCCGCCTCCGCCCTCGCCGCCCTCCCCGAGGGGCCCTGTCGCGGTTTCGCCCTCAAGCGCTGCATGACGCGGTCCGCTGTGGGTCCCTCGCCTCGTCGCCACGCCGCCCTGGCCCTGGACGCCTACGTGCAGTTCACCTCCCCCATCCGGCGGTACTCGGACATGGTGGCGCACCACAACCTCAAGGCGTGGCTGCGAGGGGATCCGCTGCCCTTCAGCGGGAACGAGATTGAGTCGCTGATGGCGGCGGCGGGGGAGGCGGGGCGGGAGCTCGGCGCGGCTGAGAGGGAGAGTGAGAACTACTGGGTGGCAGGTGGGGTGGGTGGTGGGCAGGGGCGGTGGTTGCCATGGGGGTTGCGCTGGGGGTGGTTTCCTTACCGTATGCGCGTGTGTGTATATTATGCCGGGGGAGAGGAGGGGGGAGGCGGGGCTGGAGGCGGGTTGGGGGACGGGGAAGGGATGGGTGGAGATTACCTGGGGTGGGGTGGGGTGGGGTGGGGTGGGTGGGGTGGGGTGGGGCGGGGTAGGGTGGGGTGGGGTGGGGTGGGGTGGGGTTTGGCTTTTCGGGGTGAGGAGAGAAGTGCTGTGGGCGACCCCGGGGATCGCAGTGGACCATGTGGGTTGTGTTGCTGTATCAACATACATACGTACATACGTACATGTATGCCTAACAAAGACACCCTCAACCCGGGGGTTGCGTGGGTCGATACAACATGACACCCCCCGCCACCACTTCCCCAACGCGGCCTGCCCCCCCTGTCTGGTCCTGCTCCTCGCCTCCCGCTCATGCGCTCAACATCCCTTCTGGGGTCAAAACTGGGTCGCGGACAGAGCCCTCCCTCTTCGCCTTTTTCCCGTTCTTCCTCCCTCCCTTTCCTTTCCGCCTCACCGTCACTGCATCTTATCAACCCCCCTTTGCCCGGCCCCCTACCCTGCCCGCTTCGTCAGAGTACCTCCGGCTGAACTGGGGTGCCGAGTACCCGGCTATGGCGTTAGGCTGGCAGCGCGAGGAGATGCAGCTGGCGGCGTTCCTGCTGCAGCGGGAGGGCCTGGAGGTGGTGGTGCGGGTGCCGCAGGGTACGGCATTCCGGCCTGGGGACTGCTGTGTGCTGGCGCCCAGTGAGGTCAACCCGGCTACGGGGTTTTACAGGTTCTACATTGCGGGGTGGACGGGCGGCGAGGAGGAGGTGGAGGAGGAGGAAGGGGAGGAGGAAGATGTGGTTGTGGAGGAGGAAGCGGAGGACATGGTTGGGTCTGTCGCGGCGTAAGGGAAGGGTTTGATGGCTCTTGAGGAGGGGAGGGAGAGGGAGAGGGAGAGGGGACGCGCATGGTCGCAGCGACTGGGATGTATAATCACCGACTATATGATTGTTGTTATTGGCGCAGAGGTCATGGCCTGGCCTATGTTTGGTAATATGCGCTTTTATCGCGCCGGTCAAGTTTTGGTATGCGTATAATTCCGATGGATACATGCGGCACATAAACGCTTCACCTCTGACACCGAAGCAAAAATCACATCTGGCATTTCAACGTGGAAGTTGAGGAAGTTTGCTTGTATTAGTACGGCAAGCCTCGCTAACCAGATAACACTCGCTGTTCCCACGACGTCCTTATGTAAAAATGGCGCTATCCTTACATCGTGGTTCTTTTAGTCGTTGCGTGGCGCAACAGGCGCAGCCTGCGCGGCGAGTAGGCCTGGCAACGCGGAGGCGTCAGCTGTGCAAGCCATGCGGTGCTATCGAAATTGATTTCAGCGATCCGGATACCCAGATCAGCCTTGCTGGTATGGTTCTAGGTCTTGTAGCTGGCCTTGGTGCTCCGATTTGGTACATCAACCGTGCGGAGAAGGATGAGGAGCGCCTGGAAGAGCTGCGCGCGCTAAACCGCGCTACGTACGCGGAGACCGGCGAGTACATGACTGAGGTAAGCCATGCTTTACTGACGTCGTTACATCCCCATGCGGGCGCTTGCCGGGCGTTTGTGTGGTCATGGTCGAGCGACTCGTATCAGGACGAACACCGTCCTGTTGCAAGCTGACACATGGTAACCGTGTAAGATATGATGATAATGCACCTAGCATACGTTACTATTAGTTATTTTGGGCTTGACTATGTATGGCCACTTAACACCGCCATGTCCAGGACTGATGCCAGGCTTTGTTTGCATTCCGCGCGGTGCGCAGGATGAGATTGCAAAGATTCGGAAACCCAAGTGGACTGACCGTCGCGAGTGGGTTGACGACGACTAAAAGCTACCTTGACGGGCAAAAAGCCAGGACGACCAGTTTTGGAGTGCTGTTATATCTTTCATTTAAATCCATCGCACAGGTGGTTCATGTACCATACTGCTAAGGGGCCGGTTTTGGGGCCTCCCACCATATTTGTTTCTGTAGTTGCTGCAGACGGAGGGCGGTCCTCTTCATTCGGGTTTTGAAGCCACAGATGGGCAAGGAGAGCAGGAGCTGTCAAGGATCAGCTAAATGGCTGGGAGCAGATCAATTTGATGGGGTGTAGGACAAAGATGATCGCACGTGGGTGGTGCCGTACGGAAGGACATAAATGATGTCGTACGTGATCTAGGCAGGTTCAAGTCGCATGTCCGCTTGAGGATAGTTCGCGGGGTTCGCATGAATGGGATGTAATGTCACCGATCTCGATACATATCTGCTCCTATAACTGTTCCGACAGAGGGCACACGCATAACCCCAATAGCGTGCAACAGATCTGACCAGTTATCACCACCCAACACCTTGAGAGAGCGAGCGCTGCGCCATTTATCGCCACTACCGACCGACCGCAAACTGCACCTTGGTGTCCAATATAGCAGAGGAACACATGTCGCTGTTGTATCCGCGCGCTTTCTACAAACGCTTTCCACCGAGAGCTCTTTCCACATCACCATCATCATCATCATCATTCCCGCTTACAAGCCGCGCAGCAAGGCTGGCGGAGTCCGCAACAGCATCCAACATTATCCCCTACTTCCAGCCACCAGACGCCAGCCCTCCTCAGACGCACGAGACGGGCCGCCCCTCGCATTTCCCCCCCCCCCGCTGCAAACAGCCTTACGTCGTACAACAACGGCACATACGTCACACCACAACATGTATTCCTCCGTACTATGCCGTACTCCCCAGCGCGGGTACCCACCTACCCAGCCCCTACCTCCCGTCATCATTCTGCCATCGAAGACATGAGAATAAGAATCGAACTTTCGAAAGCAGGAACACACATGCGACTAACAAACAGATTTACAACTTTTGCAAGGAAAAACATGGACGGCTCTGCTTCACAAATGCGCTGTTGGACGGTGTTAGGTGGTTAGGTGCTGAACGGTTGCTATGCCGCTCCATCCGGGGCATTTCCCAGTATCGTCAACGGCCCCCGTACTCTTACCCTGACCGCACTATCTTCCTGTCGTACAGTGTTCGTACATAACGCGTCGCGTTCGCCCTCCTGCATTTCCTGTCCACTCATCCATTGGCAGGTCAGGGCTATACCGTATTTAAATCGCCACGCACGTGTTAATTGTTTACCGAGATTGGTCTACAAGACTGCGCACACACATATACACATACAGACATACAGAACCAACATACAGAGCCAACATACGGACACAACATACAGACACGGCAAGGGGACAGTGGCCGACAGGTCTTCAAGGACTGGTTGCCTATGACGCCCTTTCAAACCCCCCCCCTAACCCATGGCCCCTCTTCCACCTGCTCCGAGCCGTAGCCCTGCCAGCCAGCCGGCCTGCCAACCTTACGGGTTTAAACGCAGTTGCCAAACTTCAATATCCCTTTCATGCATTGCCCTTCCTTTATTTATTCAATTATGTATTCAGTTGAGTCGGTTAGTCGCCCCCGGTTGACGAAGTTCAAAATCGAGTCAAAAGGCAGTTAGAGCAATGCCTGGTTGACATTTGGAACTGTAATTGACCAAATCTGTCCGTAAACTATAGGTATATGCAGCGAGGCAGTATGCGGTAGGGTTGCGTAAAAGTAACCTCTTAGATTCGTAGCAGCAGCAGTAGCAGATAAAGATGCAGCAGCAGCACCACCACCACCACCACTACAAATGCAGCCAGCACCTCCTGACAGCGCCACGAGCCGCCTCGCCGCCAACCACTAACCGCGGAATGCTGCGCGCGGCGGCAAACAAGATCCGTGCAAAGCCCTCTGATGTATTGATGAGTTGCGTGATGTGCGTGTCGTGTATAAGGGGTTTTGGGTTGTTGCGGTAGTTCCCCCTCACCCTCCCCCCCGATTTCCCCCACGGCCACACCACGTGGTTCCCCTCCTCCCGCACAAACCCTGCCGCCCGCACACTCGACCTCCCCTCCCCCATGCCTGCCTAACCCCTCCTCCTCCCTCCCCGCCCCTCCCCTTCAAGACCTCAGCTCTCTTCATCGCTGTCCTCCTCTCCCAGCAAGTCGATGCATTCGTACGGTGCCCCGCCGCCAACAGCGGCGTTGCCTCCCGCATTTAGCTGTGCGCCTCCTTGCACCCGTGCGCAGCCTCCATTCGTATTGGCACTGGCGCGGGCGCGGGCGCCCGAAGGGGCCGCCCCCCCGGCCTGTTGCTGTTGCTGCTGTTGCTGCTGGTGTGTGTATTGGTGGGAGCCCAGGGGTGTGGTGACGTGCAGGTAGCCCAACTGTTGCTGTTGCTGCCGATTTGATGCTGAGTACTGCTGCAGGGGTGGGGGCAGCTGCGTGTGCGTGTGGGGGTCCTGTTGCTGCTGCTGCTGCTGCCACTGCACGTTGCGCATCGTGAGGGATGTCGGTGCCTGTGTTTGCGAGGGCTGTAGCTGCGGTTGCTGCATCTGTAGCTGCTGCAGCTGGGACGTCGCCGTCGGGAATGGGAATGGCTGCGGCTGCGGCTGATGAGACGGCGGTGGCTGCTGTTGGCTGACAGCCGCCGAAGAGCCGGCAAGGACGGGAGTTGGCCAGGCAGCAACGGAACCTGCAATCGCCGTCGCCAACCCCTGTCGTACAGGCGGTTGGTACGGCGTGATAGCGGGTACTCCCGGCGGCGGCGTCTGCCCCTCCAATGGAATCCTCGGCGACCCAGAAGTACGAATCCGTACGGTGTTGGTACGACCCAAGACGCTGACCGGTTGGCGGTGCGACACCGCAACGCCGCCGCTGCCGGTCCCATTCCCGTTCTCGGCTGTCGTACTTCCTATTCCCGCTGCCGTCGTCACTGTCGACTGGCGCTGCGGCGGTTGCTGCACTTGCTGCTGCTGCTGTGTGGACTGCGGGGCTGCGGCGGCGTTAGTGGAAGCGTGTTGTTGTTGCTTCTGTTGTTGTTGTTGCTGCTGCTGTTGCAAATGGTTGTGATGGGTTTGATGATTTTGTCTTGGAAGAGATCCGCTTCCCATCTGCTCCAAGTGCTGTCGATGCGTAGCCAAGACGCCCGCGCCAGCCGCCGCCACAGCCGACCCCAGCCCTGGCGACACACTCGCCGCCGCCGACTGCAGCCCCGAGCCCGCGCCAGCATGCGGGCGCTGGCTGTGCTGAGCTGGACGAGTCACCGAGGCAGCGGCGCTTCCCGCTCTCCGATTGGGTATCGTTATTCGTAGTGGCTGGTGATGCTGTACGGAGCCGCTGTGTGGGGCGGCGGCGGCGGCTGCTGCCGCTCCGGAACCCGGCGGCGCTGCCGCCGGCCGCGGCGGCTGTGCAGCGCCGCCTGGATTGGCAGCTCCCGCGGTGGCTGGGCCGCTAAGAGGCCGGGTAGGAGCCGACGGCGGCGGCGGCG